CACAGACCATAGGGTCAGTGGAATTGTGCTGTGTTGATAAGAGCAGAAGAATGGTTTGAAATGAGAGGAGGCCATTCGACCCACCTAGGTAGTTTGGTCGTTAGTAGCTAATTAATCCAAGGATCTCATCTGGCTGCTTCTTGATAGACACTAGGGAACCAGCTCATACAACATGGCTGGGCTGCTTGTTCCACTGCCCCCCACTCTGCCCTTTGTGTACATATTTTAATAAAGTCCTCTTAAAACATTCTACCTATTTTTAAATTTCTTCCTTTGTTTAATCCTCATGATTATCTGTACAGTATGTATCAGGTACTACAGAGCAGCAGGGGCATGCACTAGGAACATCCAGATAACAGGTGCCTGTTGAACGATATTACAGTATGCATTAAGTTTTTGTTGTAAAGGGCATTTTCACACATCCATGCAGTCGTCTTTGAATAACCCAGGGACTCGTATCACACACTTGCTGCAGGTCAGGCAGAGAGAGCAGGGAAACCCCATTCACTTGAAAAACTGCCTGCCAACGTGTGTTGGGAGCGGTACTCTATTGTAGCAGATCACCCCCAGAGAATGGAGAAATGACTCAGCTCTGTTTCAGTGCTATATTTAGCCTTGATAATCTGCCTGGTGAGTCAGAGAGGGAGCCTGTCAGGGTGGCTTCCTTGGAAAATCTTGCCAGTCATTTTTTTATTATGTCATTCCATTCCACTGTGTGGTCATTGTCATTGTAAGGGTGATATATAGTCAGAGGTGTGTAAGAAATGTTAAAGACAAGAGGAGACCATTCAGCCCTGTCTTATCCATTCAGTGCTCGGAAGTTAAGGTCTCATCCAGCCTTTTCTTGAAAAAAAAAACAGGACTTCAACAAAGTGGCAGGCCAGCTCGTTCCGTTCTTCAACCACTCTTTGTGTAAGCCCTTTGTTAGGTACTATGAAAGGTTGTGATCTTTTTAAGGTGTATTGATCATCACCTGTGTTAAAGATGACTCCTTCTCCAAAATAAGTATTTTTTTGGAGATCCATGTGGAACCCTGACAAGATCATGATGAGGCTGGTACAGTATTTGTTGGTTCTCTCGAGACCCCAGAGCAGGAGTATATCGGAGGTTGGCTGATGTTGACAGCACCTGTAGGCTAATGCATGGCATAATTGTCAAGTAGGCTGTCCAGGTGATGCATTGTGGTATCATTTGTAAGCTCATAGAGATATAACAGTTGCAACATGTAGTGTACATATCATACATCCTATAAAAAGTCCATGAATTGTATGGCATCGTTTAGAAGTGTTCAGAGATCAGCAAAGGTAAAGCCTGCTGGGCAAACTGGTTCACGGTTCATGGCTTGGACATTGTGTCCAGTGTGTGTCTGCAGGTCTTCTAGGTCTCTTTAAAGCATCAGTAACTGGTGAGAGGAGCTGTTCAACTAGTCAAATTAGACCAGTGATGTGCTGACTCACTACGAACCCAGCTGGACTGAACACTGTAGATACACTGGTCCTCCAGGACTGGGACCCCTGCGTTAACTCATGGTGAAACTCTTCCCACCCAATGGAGACAATAGACGAGGGGGCTGAAAGGAAGGGGATTGGTTTAGGTGAACAGGTCAGCTGAGGCTTCCCCAGTCGGTCATTGTGGGTGATCAAGTGAGAAGGCCGAGGCCCTGTGTGAGATTTCAGAAGACAGAAACTGTGGGTGACAAGACCAAAGCTCCGTGGACTGCCCAAGGGCCTTGGACTCGAGAAGACAGGAGGAACTCGTGAGTGCTTGACTTGTGTGACTCCAAAGCTTTGTTAACACTGAAGCAGGTAAACGGCCAGCTGGATAGTAGTTGACTTAAAACTTATCAACAAGGAGCTAGGCTATTGTTTAGTTTATTGTTTTGCTTTGTCATGACGGTTTTGATCTTCCTTCAGCTTTGGAAATAAAGAGCACCGTCTGAAGCTTGCAGCTTGTGCTTGGGGTGTATCTGTTGGCTAGGGACCTGCCTTAAACAACCCCCCTTGTGTGGCCCACCCCAGGCGGCATCTCAGGACTTTATAGTTTGTTTTTATTACCTGCATGTAAAACCCTGCAACATTTAACATTTGCCCGGTGTTTTGGAAGAAAAGTTAAGACTATGACTAAGAGTGGTTGGCAGATTAGTCAGATTGCCAGTTTTGATGGAGACAGAGGTGATGGGCCAGTGAGTTAACCCACAGAATGAGTTGTGTGTTTCCTTTATAACACCAGGATTGGTTAGGATGTTATAAGGTGTAGTCCTGGTATTCACCCTGCAGGTCTGTCATTGATGGATCATTGTTTGAGTGCCGACAGTGACCTCTGATCCGTTGTCTTGGGCAAAGGGGCATAGCGGGCTGAAGGGATCTAGGCTGCACCATGGTGTTGTGGAATGAACACAGCTTTACAATGTCCTGCTCTGTGATCTATACGTGGAAAATGCCTCTTATCAGAGGGTCCCTTTTAGCTGTATTTCTCTGCTTTTACAGAGGCCCAACCTGCTCGGTCAAGGCAACGGAAGGATTACTAGAAATCTTTAATGAAGCTTAATTCTAAGTGTAATAACATGCCTTGCTCCTACACAACATCAGGCCTGGGGGGGTTCTAATCTTCAATGCTTCTAGTGCCCAAAACGCTTATGGCTGTTTTACGCTAATACTATATAATACACAACTTGGTCCTCCTGCAGCTTGGGGCATGCTGTAGACTTATTTCTTAGTGAATGAGTGAAATACTCTCATACATCAGCCATTTCTCTTTTACTGTGTACATTTTTACCACTTTAATCGCAGATATATTTTACTTCATTCCTAATGGTACATTTTCTGTTGTAGTTCAGAGAGAAATATATTTTAGCCTCCATTGCATTATTCCTTTCAGTCTCTCTTTTGGACTTACTTATACCCTTTTTTACCTCTGCTTGCAATTCATTGTGCTTTATGAAAAGAACTTTGAATCCAGCTGGGTTTTAATCATTAATAAATTGTTTTTGCATGTTTTTTGACAAGCTAATGGTTCTGTCCTCTCTTTGCTTCACCCTGTCTTGGTTGTTTGAAAAGTTGAGGTCAATACATTTTCTCTTATAGGTGCTCTGACACACTGGGTAGGAAAGATGTCATTAACCATACCTATCTGCCTTTGGCTGCTGATATTCCCATATATCTTTCCCAGTCTATGTTTGAACAGTTGAAGTTTCCCATAAACCTTACCTCTTTTGCATATAGATTCTTCATTTTTATACATGAATTAATTTATTAATTGTAATTAACATGCCCATTTGGTGGACTAGAGCATGCTCCTAATATCTTGGAATGTTTTTAATGAGCCTGGCCCATGTGTCTCTGCAGTTGAAGTGTCCTGTTTGAAACTGCTGCCTTCAGCTCACTCATCTGATTCCAGTTCTGGGAGTGAAGCAACTTTATTCAGCTCTTTGTTTAGACAGATCTTATTTGTTCTCGCCATTATAAGATGTTTTAACTCTTCTTTCATTACTTCAGATTTTCCTCGGGCCGCCAGATGATAAATTATTTGCAGTACTAATGTAATCCTGCCTGATTTTTGTAGGTGTCCTTATAGAATAGTGCAGTAAGGCAGATGTCTATGAGGAGGCTTTAAAGGTACATGAAGGTCATGTATAGACCTCACAACAGCTGGATTGCCAGACATGCACTGTTAGGTCCATACAGTGATGTTCTTACAGCCCTCTGGTCCTTAGTCTGGTTTGCTCCTCCATCGTGTCACTAACTGAGTGTCACCAGGGGTTGCCACAGTCCCACTATTAACACCACGTGCCACATGGCTTAGGGGTCCCACCATTGTTGCTGCGCCTGCAGCCTGCGAGCCTTGCCTGCGCCTCTTGCCCTTTCCCAGCTGCGCAGGTCTCCTTGCCGAAACCCAGAACCACCTGCTGTCTTCAGAACTAGACTTCCAGCCTGCGGGGTGTCACCCTTTTCAAAACATTATCATGACCTTAAGGATTTAAAACCTCCTCCCAGACACTGAAACTCATTCAAAAGGCTTAAAATGACAGCTGCCTCATTATAGACTCTATCCTGCGATGCCAGTGAACTAGAAGAAAAGTCAAGCACCCTCCGAATGCTGAGGGCCCTGTGGAGTTATTTAATGTGACAGAAGTGCTTGTCAAGCATAGCTGACATTTTAATTGGCAAAGGAACAAGTTAAGGTTTATTCCATGCTGAAAAGAAACGCAACGTTTCGGCTGTGAAGCCTTCTTTAGGTGTGTTTTCTCTTTAATTGTTGGCTGTTTCTTTTGTTTAATTCCTGTCCCCCAGGGATGTTGTCCTGAAGCTACTCCAGTACGAAGCCTCAGCCAACATTGCCGACAATAAAGGCTGCTTCCCTCTTCACCTGGCTGCTTGGAAGGGAGATGTGGAAATAGTGAAGATCCTCATCCATTACGGGCCCTCGCACAGCAGAGTCAACGAGCAGGTACTGGAAAGGGAATCTGTGTGCACAGAGGACTTTTCGTGTTATTTTCAGATCGTGTCATGTGGTGAAAATCAGATCTTGAGGATCATCTACTGTAGTTTTAATGCAAAGGCTATTTGGTGTTATAGAAGAAAAGTCAAAGTATGTGCTGGATTCTCTGTTGCTTCAGCTCAAGGGACTATTCCCATATCTGTGTTCTGGTGCCAGTAATCATTCCTATTCAAGAAGGTGCAGTCTTAAGAATGTTACTGATTGTCAAACAAACATCTTTGCTAGACAATTGCTCTTAATTTCCTGTTCATCTGAGTGGAAGCTCAGGCTAAATAAAAGCTTCGATCATGCTGACCATAGCGACTTACAATTCCAGTACAAGACGGTGGTATTTTTTCATCCAGATGTTTCAACCAGTAGAAACCTGCCATTAAATATAGGGTTTGTAATTTTGCTGCTGATGGCTGGATTGAGGTTTTAATTTAATCAATGCCTTAAAACAACAGGTCCGTAATACTACCAAACTGAAGTTTAAAATGCAAAAAGTGTTTTTTATTAGTGGTCCGGTGATAAAAGTTTTTTTTTACTATGCGAAACAGTGACTTTCCCTTATGGTGCCATCGGACTGTTGTGTTCCTTTCACATCCAATCAACTGAAGCCATTGATATCATTTATAATTACAATTCTTTGAATTTGCGTAGAACGTTTTGACCAAAGAGTTTTGACCAAAGAGCACTTTGCCTTACTGCACTGAAGAGCTGCTGAACCTAAGTGACCCACAGCAGCCTTTCTGCTCATCGGGAGGAGTGAGAAATCACTGGACTAGTACAGTATAATGGAGGGGGAGCTATAGGAAAGGATTATTTCTCAAGCACAGAGTGGAATTTAGCCAGGACGCCAGAGTTAACAGCCTTGAGAAATGTGCCCTGAAATTTTTAATGACCAAGTACTTGTTATGCAGTGATATATAACATAAGTTACATTCCAAGCGGCGAATTCTGTCAACAGGTAAAGTATTTTTAATAATCTTGTTGAATAAATATACATTTAGCTGTAATTATGTTTAAATCTATCACTATTCTGAATTATTATTTTATTTCTTTATCTGAATAATTTTTATTTGAGCTTTTCAGCATCGCATCTCTAATTATTGTGTTTCACTGTAAATATTTCCTCTCTGTATCAATGATGAAGGAAACAGAAGGTAGAAAAGGTGTTTAGCATGAGAAATCCACTGCTCTTCCTCAAGACAGAACTGAGGTTTAGGGGACAATATGTTTTAAAGGCTTTCAGATGTTAACAACCTCCTTTAAATTCAGTGCTCTAAGCGGATGATTTGTTCTAGCTCACAAATACAATAACAGCTTTAAGTATAAACATGATGTGAGCCATTTTATTTCTTTCTTAAGTACTAAACCTTCTGATTAAAAGGTAGTTTGAATTATAGCATTACCACTGCTAATTATACTGGAAAAGCAGAGTGTGTTCTGAAACAACCACTTTTTAAACTGCTTTATTGAGTAGCTGATGCTCTATGCCTACTTAAGGCTGATGCACACTGGACGAATGCTGATGAGCAATGAAATGGTTTGACATGATGTGATGGGGATATACTGCATACTGCATTTTTTTATGAATGAATTGAGAAAATGTTATATTTGGAAATAAAAGATACAGAGTTTTGCACCATTTTTCCTAAGACTGCCCTGTTATTCTGCACCAATTCATTGCATTTGTTGTAGAGAAGTGTTGTGCCACAGAGGCGTGTTTCTCCGCGATGCTGGAACCCTGAACAGCTGTGCAATGAAACGTATTTGTTTTCTGCCCAGTGAAGGCTGGTGGATCTCGTTGCACATTTGCAGAACCAAAATGGAAGGAGATCATATAAATATACTGTAAACATGCTGTGTAAATAGACAGAGTATGGCTGTCTGATGGGCTGCGATACAGCAAGATTCCTGTTCAGCGCTGTGAAAGTCTGGAACAAGCTGTCCATCTACTGTATGTTGAAGCCAATACTCAGGCTTCCTTCAAGAAACAGCTGGATAAGATCAGTGAGCTACTAATTAACTAATTAACGAAACGGGCTGGATGGCTGAATGACCTCCTCTTGTGTGCAGCTTTTCTGATGTTCTCAGTCGTAGAACTGTGGAATTAAACTAGACTCAGTAATATAAAAGTGCACAGTGTAGCACTTTGAAGGCTTTTAGTTATACTTTGTCTCTTCAAAGTGCTACACTAACTAATGTTGTGTAAAGCATATTTGAATGTGTATTTCAGCATTTTCGAGTAGCAATATGGTCAAAGCTATAAATGATAAAACACTTTGCAGGCATTCAGCGCTGGGCTGGGGCTCAGCGAAGAGAGGTGTTGGCTTGTCACTGCTGTGCAGGCTTCAATCTGCAGAGCCCAGTGAAGTTTCTTCTATAGTGTTGAGGCACTGCAATCACCCCGGTCTGGGGCGACTCTGAAACACTGTACAGCAATCTGTGACCTGGATTCAGAAGTAGACAGCTGTTAGATGGCTAACAAAAACAATAAAAAGAGGGTTTTCATATAATAATGCTACAGCTTAGAATGTCCTTAGTGAATGTACAGTACAGTATACTGTGTCTGAATACAATCTGTCACATAGCTGCAGTTTTACAAGTTCAGAATCACTTTATTTGTCAAGCACGTTACATGTACAAGGAATTTGGTCTGGTTTCTTGGTGCAAAAACATAGACAGAAGCAATTCAATAACACTTGTCCACTTTGCACAGAAAGCACACACAGGTCCTCCATTACTGTATATCCAGTACAGTACAGCACACAGTACTGTACATCCCATATTCCTGTGTCCTGACGAAGCAGGGAGATGGCCATGACGAAGAAGCTGTTCAGAGGCTAGGGGGGCGTTTGTTTTCATCCGCCCGAGGCCTGTTTTTGAAACAGATGGTGTCCTGGGTGAGAGGAGTGATTGACAATCTTGTCTGCTCGCCTCTGAGCAGTGCGGTGGCTCTGTGGCTAAAGATCCCACGGCCGGCAGAGGAATCCTACTCCGTTGGGCCCCTGAGCAAGGCCCTTAACCCCAGCTGCTCCAGGGGTGCTGTATAAATGGCTGACCCTGTGCTCTGACCCCCAGCTTCTCTCTCCCCATCTGTGTGCCTGTGTGTATCATTGAGAGCAAGCTGGGGTCTGCAAAAAGACAAATTCCTCATGCAAGAAATTGTATATGGCCAATAAAGTGATCTTATCTTATCTTTAGTCTGAGTTTGTACAGGTCTTCAGTAGATGGCAAGTGGCAGCCTAGGACTCCCTCTTAAAGGGGACAATGCACTGCAGTTTCCATTCAGAGTGGACAGATGTGTTGCCAAAGTAAATGGTTAGAGAAGCTGTAAGAATGCTCTCAATAACGGCTCTAATAAAACTGGATGAGAAGCATTGAGATCATTCAGTTGAGGCAGGAAATACAATCTCTGGTGCACATTCCTTGCTGATAACATTTGCATCCCGTCTGAAGTTTTCAGAGACTGGTTACTCCTAAGAACTGGAAAGACTGCACCACAGTTTCTGGAAAGACTGCACCACACTCCCTGCGATCCTGTCAGTTTCTTGGACATGTGTTTTGGAGGGTTTTTCCTAAAGTCAACAAACACTTCCGCTGTTCTGAGATTGTTGAGCTTAAGGTTGTTGTTGACACACCATGTCTCCAGACGATCCACGTCTCTTCTTTACATTCAAATGAGACAGTGTGTTGTGGAGGATCCACGTCTCTTCTTTACATTCAAATGAGACAGTGTGTTGTGGAGGACATCTGGGATGATGGTATTGAATGCTAAAGTCAACAAAGAGGAGTCTCACATATGATCCTGGAGATTTTAGATGTTGCAGGATATAGTGTAGGCAAACATAAACAGCATCATCCACTGACCTATTGGCTCTTTATGCAAATTGTAAGCGGACAAGATATGAATCTGTGATTGTTTGGAGATATCGGAGTATCAGATGCTCAAATGTAAGACTCTGTCATAATATTTCATTTACACCTCTGAGTGTTCTTGCAACATGAGTGCACTGCTCTAGAGACTCACTGATGCCTGTGTCTATCTGAGTTCTCCTGAGGGTAATATTAGAAAGCAGTTGTAGAAAACAGAAACACTGCCCTTCTGTAACTTAAACAGGCCTCCTCAGACAACAGCTGCCAGAGAGAAAGGTGTTTTTATTAGTAACAGAAGTTTTCAGCATCGGCTTATATGGAAGATTGCCCTGATGTAGGATCAGAGAAAGTTGATGTGGTATTTTTTGGCAGCTCTGAAGAGTAATACGTTTTGCAACAATTTACTCCACAGAAAAGTGTTTGAAGAATACATTTCTCAGAACAAAAGGTTTCTGTTTTGTCAGTGTCCATGCCAAGAGAGCTGTTTAATTTGCCTTTAAGTTTTACTTTGGTCTTTAGGATGGTTACACTGCCAAACTGTAACCTTTTTTGTGTAGGATTATTTAACTCAGATAAATATTTCAATTCAAGCTAGGCTTTATTTATCTCCTGGGGAAAATTTGTTCTATGGCAGAGTCCAACACAACACTACAACAAAAACTTCATCAACAAAGAATTTAGTACAGCCGTGTTTCAGGAGAGCCACTTCACATTGTTTGAGAGTGAGACTGCAGCTTTCATCCCCTAGTTTTACACCTGAGGACACAGGAGGTTATTCCCAGATGGGAGGGGTGTAAATTCACAAGGGAGGGGGTGAGACACACAGACATAACGCTCTTGGCCTTCTTCAGCATCCTTTGTTTGTAGAGGTCATTTAAGTTTATTGTTTCTTTGTTTCTCTTTTTGTTTCTTTTTTAAATCCTTTTATCATTTCATATCCCTCACTTAAATATAGTGTGCAGAGTTGCCTGCTGTACTGAGTGGATTTTTTCACAGTGAATTATTTCAGTCTGGACACAGAGAGAAAACAGTGCCCCTGGTGGAGCACAGGCATATAGTCAACTCTTAAAAAGACCTGTGGGTCATGT